TCCTTGTAAAATGAGTTTGGAAGTGTTCCCTCTTTTTTTTTTTTGAAGAGTTTGAAAAGGACTGGTATTCTCTTTTTAAGTTTTGGTCCAGGACTTTTCTTTGTTGTGAGGTTTTTTATTACTGAGTCAATTTCCTTACTAGTAATTGGTCTGTTCAGATTTTCTATTTCTTCATGATTCAGTCTTTGCATGTTGTATATTTCTAGGAATTGTTTCCATTTCTTCTAGGTTGTCCAATTTGTTGGCATTTAATTGTCTCATATAATCCATTGTATTTCTGTGGTATCAGTTGTAACATTTCCTCTTTCACTCTGGTTTTATTTCAGTCCTCTCCCTTTTCTTCCTGGTGAGTTAAACCACCACTTACATTTTTATCTCATAGCCACAAGAGAGAGCCATCACTTCAAGCAGAAGATAACAATCCATTGAGACCTAAATATTCCAAAACACAAGGAGGGGGGGGGCGGTACCCTTAGGGAACAGGTAGAGAATTCTTTCATCTGCTTTAGGCTAGTGATGAGGTAACTTCCAACCTACCACAGGAGCTCTTCAAAGCTCTTTTCCTGACTCCCAGCTAGTCCTCTGGGCCTTCAGTTCTCTGAACTCATGGCTCTGAATCCAATCAGTTTGCTATTCTTTTCAGTACATATGAGTCAGCACCCTGGCCTGTCTTCAACAGAAAAGAAAATAGCGCCATGGAATTCCTGAAGAAGGACAGTGCTATTCTGGGCTTATGCTAGGTCAGGAGCATCACAGAGGACAAGATCCTTCCTTGAAGAAAATATCAGTATAGATTGGGATGTTGCCAGCAAGATGACGAGGTTGACATCATCATCTAGCACCCAGGATTTCTTAATTATTCAGTGGGTTTGATCATGTAGATTAAATTACCATAAATCCCTTTCATTCATCTATTTCCCCCACTACATGGTAAGCTCTAGGGTGGGACTATTTCTCTTATTAATCATTGCATTTTGGGGTTCAGGATACTGAACAATATGGGATGATATTTTTTTCACCTTGATAACAGAGGAAAAGTTATGTCTCTGATCAAAAAGCTCTACCTATAAATTTTTCCTTCACCCCACCCCCAGGCTCCAACTCAACCCAGCTGCTTCTATTTGGGGAATGGACGTATAATGAAAAACCTCTCCTATGACTCATGCCTACACACTGTTCTAAATGTGCATCAAATAAGGCTATTCTCTACTAGATTTATAAACAGTAATGGTATCAACAGTTTTTTGACTATGTGTAGATCACTTGCTTCATGCTTATGCCAACCTTAAAGATAGGTAGTAATAGTCTATTTAAGAGATAAGGAAACTAAGGTTCAGAGCATTATATAAGTGGGCCAAAATCTATCACCCAGAAAGCGCTAACGCCAGCATTGGAGCCAAGTAGATGACTCTAAGGTCTATCATGGTATGCAATTTCTCTTAACACCAAATAGAAGCATTTGCCTTTTGATGCAGAATTATACCCAAAACCTTGAAATCTGCAGGATTAAGCTATAATTTTCGACTGAAAGGTAGCAGGGTTGGAATTCTGAGGCAAAGACTCTGCTCAATTGTCAGTGGCTTTTTCTATCCACTCTTGATCGGAGAAACGCCTGTAATGAATTTCTGCTCATTCAGTTCACTGCCATATATTCTTTTATAACAGGACATGGTGACTGCAGCTTCTACTTACCTATTTGAAGCCACAGAAAGAAGATTTTTTTTCAAAAATGTATCAATATTAATTCCTGATACTTGGGAGGAAAAGCCTCAATACAAGAGACCAAAACATGAAAGCTACACACATGTAAGAGTAAAACCAAGTCTCTTAAAATATTGTATTTTCTGGTGCTCATCCACTGAACTGCAAATTGATTGTTTTAGAGTTTTTCTGACTAAATGTTATCATTTCTATTTCTGATGTTTTAAAAATCTTTTTAAACATTCTCAGGCTGATGTTTTAGTTGCACCACCTACCCTACCAGATAGAGATGAACCATACACCAAGCATTTTAAACTCTGTGAAGAAAAAGGAGAATACATTCATTTCACCCCTGATGTTGTACTTGGGAAAAAACAAAATGAATATGGACCAACAGGTAAGAATTAGATTAATATATATTTTGCAATGATTCCAATAAGCAGGTGTGTACCCAAGTTAAATGCACAAACCCTAGAGCCAGAGTCTATAGGTTCAAATCCTGGCTACCCTATTTATCAGCTCTATGTGACCTTGGACAAGTGAGATAGACTCTCTGTGCTTATTTTCTGTAAAATGGTGAATAGAGGATCTACTACTGTATAGAATTGTTGTGAATATTAAATTAGGTAATCCATGCAACTGTTCTCAGTAGAGTGTCTACAGAAATTTGAACACAGCAATAACAATAAATATTTTTATTAAGGATACTTTTCAAATCTTAATATTCCAGTTCTCCACAGCTGGATATTAATCACATGCCACCTTAATGGAAGGCAGATGTGTGAAAAGCTGAAAAGAGACAAGATTATAGTTCCTGGCCAAGATAAAACACTCAGGGGCTGTAATTGCTATACTATTATTCAACCTATTTGGTTGAACTAGATGTACTTGTCTGTTAGTGATCATTTTTACCTATAAAAAACGGTAATTTCATCTAGTTCAGTCTAAAAGTTAAGGTTATTGGTTCAAATGAACTTAAAGCGCATCGTTTCACATGTCACTACACAGGAAAACATTCCTGAACCCACATAGCCCAAGATCACCTCTCTTCCACTGTCCCTTCAATGAGCATTCATTAAGTCCCTTGTTTTTGTCAAACACTCAACCCTGGTTCTCATTACCTGTTTCCCAACCAGTCTTGAAAGCTTCATCCCATCTCATGCCATCTGAATCTTAACTCTCCCCATACTTTAGTCCAATCACATTTCTTCTCCTTGGCACCTCTAACGTTTGCTCCCTTCTAACTATAATTTTTTCTTTACATGGCAGGTCCAGAAAAGTGTAAATAGCTCAATTCCCTCACCACTCTTATCCTTATGTTTCATTCAATTTGCCAAATCGTTTCTACTAAATTTCCAGCTAGTTTCCTTTTGCTCCTGTTAATGTTTTCAAAATTGTGAAAGTAAATTACAAAGCTAATTGGTATCATTACAAAAATACATTTTTCAAACTTAGTGAAGTCCTCACAGCTACTCAATAATGTTGTACTTGCATCTTCTCAACTCCCTTTCTTATTCCTAAGCAGCTGTTCTAAAACTTGCACCATTTTTCTCAAGATCTGTAGCCACTTTTTTTCAATCCCATCAATCAACAGATGCCTTGATTGAGAAATAGAACCCCTACCTTTTCCTCCACTTCCAAATTCATGTCTACCTGCACCTATATTAGACAAGAAGGATTTTCTCTAATTTTAAAGCTAACATCCCCATTTGAGCTCTTGTTCTTTTATAATATCCCCACCTCAGCCCTGTTCTATAATGGGTAGCTTTCCTCCTTGCTCTTAGACAGGAGCTTTTCCTATAATGTGATACGTGTGTTTGTGAAAAACTCACATGCTGAAAAACAATGTTCTAAAAACAACATGGCTCTTGAACAACAACATTACGAAGAGAGTCCTCAAAATATATGCAATTTATAATAAATATAGTAACAATAATAACAATAGGTACCTGGAAAGAACATTTAAACAATCTTGGCCATAGCTCAGTTTGGCTGGAAGCTGCCATCATAGATCTTAAAAGTACAGATGCAAGCACACACATAGAGTGAAATGCTATTAGAAATGATAACAGGCTTAGTAGGAACTGAGACAATGATGTAGATGTGAATGAAATTCTAAGTTTGAGGAGCTGCTTTTCTTGCAATAAAAATTGAATACATTTAAGGCGTACAACATGCTGATTTGATATACATATACTTATTGAATGGTGAAATTGTTACTACAGTCAAGCTTAATAGCATAACATCTCCTCACATACTTACGTGTGTGTGTGTGTGTGTGTGTGTGTGTGTGTGTGTGTGTGTGTGGTGAGATCTGAACTCTACTTTCTTAGCAAATTAAGGTGGGCTTGGGAAGCAGGGCAACCTGCCATGAGCTGTGAAGAAAGCAAGTGAAGAGTACAACACTGTAAAAAGGAAGCCACAGGTGCAGGCAATTTTATGTTTTCTTAAAATTCACCAAATTTCTATGATCTGAGGAATTTAAGTGAGATGAGGGTTTTTTCACTCCTACACTGAAGATTATATGTAATTCCAAAATCACTAATCGGACTCCAGTTGCTTAGAAAATCTTACACCAGTGCTTTTAAAGTTTAAAATGTAGAAGAATAACTTAGGGACCAGTTTCTGATTCAGTAGATCTAGAGTAGACCCAAGATTGTGCATTTCTTGTTAGCTCTCCCATGATGCTGATACTGGTGGGTCAGGAACACAGCCTGAGTAGCAAGGACATAAAGAAGAAAAATGGCTTTTGCATAATACTGACATTTTCCTCTAATTTTTGGATCTTATGAGTTCATTTGAGTTAGAGAAACACATGGTAGCAGAACAGACTATATTGCCATCTTCTCCTTCTCCATTTCTATTTCCTTTGAAGTTTTTCCTAATATTGATAAAGCAAAAAGTCTACTTGTTTTTTTCTCTCTGCATTTGAAGTTATGGGTGTACCTTTATTCTTCCATTTACCCTGAAATTATTAGAAAAAAATTTTTTTATTCTGACTCCTTCTAAGTCTATTCTAGAAAAGAAATACATCCTACTCATCTTTATATTTCCTAGTACCTAGTATAGTGTTGAAAATATAATTAATAAAACTTAATTTCATATAATAAATTAATCGCTTCTGTTAGATAGCCCCAACATTACATATAATCTATAGCTGTGTTTTCAATCTTTATTTTTTCTTTATCAAATCCCTAAGGAACATTTGTAGATATTTATAAAAATTTAATTGTGCTCCCATGAAATTTTAGTACCACAAATTTTACCTATATGTTTATGTTGTTAGGAGTGAACTTGGTGGAACCAAAAAACCATTGTAATATGTAAGACTTTGTCTTCCCCACCCCCATTAACCAAAACCTAAAGCCCAGTCTATTCTGTTCATAGCATATACCAGTAATGGCGAGCACTCGAACTCATTTTTTTTGGTTGATTTTCCTTTGTTAAATGGCATTTAAATATATAAAATAAATACCAAAAATATAAATCTTTGTTTACTATGGTTGCAAATATCAAAAAATTTCTATATGTGACACAGCACCAGGGTTAAATTAAGGTTTTTCAAAATACTGACACGTTGAGCTCAAAAGGTTCGCCATCACTGTCATATACATATGTACACACAAAAAAGTTTCAATGATTTAATGTTGTAGAATAAAAAGATAATATACTATATACCATATTATAATTCAATATAATGTTATATGCTTTTTTACAAACCAAAATATAAATACTGGCAGTTATTTAAAACCTAAGTATAATTATTTTTTATTTAAAAACCCATTGCTTAAAATATCTGAAGGGCAAATTTTGTCACTTGAATTATGATCATATATTTGAAATATTTTCCCACAGGCAGACTACTTGTCCATGAATGGGCCCATCTCCGCTGGGGAGTTTTTGATGAGTACAATGACGATGAACCTTTCTACAGTGCTTCGTCTAAAAGAATTGAAGCAACAAGGCATGATCATTTATATTTTCTTCAGTTACTTCAGGCTATCACTTCCTTAGTTTGATTTATATTTATTTGAAATGCCAATCATTCCTTTTTCCCAATGCAGATACTAGACACCATAACATAAAAACAGTGTCCTTTTTTAAAAAGAAAATATATCTAAAAGTGGCAAGTTTCCCATTTAAAATACACATAACTTCAAGAACATTTGGAAGCCAAATTGACATATTTTTATACCTCTCCACCATGGCTACCAGAACTCATTTACATTAGAGTTGGTCTCTGTGTAAAGGGTTGTACTATATGCTGGCAGTTCAAAACAAGAATGGAAAAATGGTTAATAAATAGTGGTAACTGAAGGTTGAGTAAAAAAATCAACCAGCTTCAAGGAACAATAACAGAAATTTCCTGAGATTTATAAAATTCACTTTAAAAATACCAATCTAACATCACAGTTAAAAACAGATAATCCTTTGGTTCTGAGGTTAACAGTGCAGAATGGGTGGAGGAAATCTATCTAAAATTGTCTGCCATCAGTTTACTCAAACTTAAATGCCCTGCTGGGGCTTGCAACTTATCAAAAATGTATAAACTCTAAGATATATGATTTCAATGAAAGCCCTTTATTAGCCATAGCACCACTTTCAGGAGACATATTTTAGAGAATATTACATTGATTACATTTGTTTCATTATATTCCCCCAAATGTCTAGTTTATACTGTGCAAAATTCATCATGATTATTAGTAGAGATAACATCATTATATTCACTGAGTTTTGAGGCAATAGTAGCATACATAATTTGTAGGAGACTCTCTAAATTACTGAATGAAAGCTAGTCATTATAATTCAATATAATGTTATATTTGGTTTTTTTAATTAATTAACTTATTATTTAAGGTATTACAAATAGTACATATGTCTCCTTTTTTCCCCATTGACCTCCCCCCGGCCTCCCCTGCCCCCCAGCCACCTGCCATCACCCCCCATTGTTTCTTAAATATGAATTGGAAACACATTGAATAGGTGGGAAATATTCACACGCCAGCATGTTTGTTATAATCACTGACACCTGTGGCCAATTCCATGCAACAAAACATATGTCTAAAATGCCTCCACCATTCTCTACTGTCCTAGGCAATACTTCAGTCTTTCCTTCAGGCCACATTTCATTTGGATAAAAATGCTCCTTGAATAATCAAAATACTTATAGTTATGCCACATCCCATTGTTTTAGAGGTAGCTTTGGGGTGTGGAGAGAAATCTATAAAGAATTTTAAGCTAAGGTGGTATCAAGAGTAAATGGTTTCACAAGTTATCTTGCCCAGATGCCTGCAATGCATTTGCTTCCACAAGGCTGCCAGGAGAGATGTTTGGAAAAGGGGAGCCTAGAGTCATCAGTGTTAACAGGTCAGCAGCAACATTTTAATCTCGGCAGATAGCTCAGCCATTGCATACACTGGGGATACCACTTAAAATTTCCCTCTGAAATTTCTTGGAGAACTGCTCTGGTAGAAATCCTTACACTTTACTGTCAAATAAGAATAAAAACCTTGGTATAAGGATCATTGTGAGTAGAAACACTTAAGATTTTCAAAACATTGTTACTGGTTAGGTTGCCTCAAAGACTAACTGTCACTTATTTTCAGGTGTTCCACAGGTATTACTGGTGTGAACAGAGTTTATAAATGTCAAGGAAATAGCTGTGCACCTAATAAATGTAAAATTGATCCTAAGACAAAACTATATGAAAAAAATTGTCAATTTTTCCCTGACAAAGATCAAACTGAAATAACATCCATAATGTTTATGCAAGGTATTACTTCTGTAAGTATGTCAATTATTTGTTCATATAGTATATTTATAATCAAAGGGCATGTTATCACGTTTATAAAATATCTGTGCAGGTGAGCTGAGGGATTAAATGTATTAATACAGAGTTCTTTGAACATTGACTGGCACATAATAAGTACTCAACTAGTGCTATTTATTATTACTACCATTGAAAATCCACTTTAGTATTCTATGATTCCTCAATGAATCAAATTTCATTAAACAAAACACCTATTTGCATAGTAGATTTTTTATTTTTATCAAATTTTTAGTTTAATGTTTAAATGCATCATATGTAACACTTTTTTTCCATCTTACTAACCTTTTAGGTTGTTAAATTCTGTAATAAAGACAACCATAATGGAGAAGCTCCAAACCTACAAAACAAGAAGTGCGAATTCAGAAGCACATGGGAGGTGATCAGCAATTCTGAGGATTTTAGAAACACCACACCTATGGTGGAATCACCCCCTTCACCTGTCTTCTCATTGCTGAGGATCAGAGATAGAATTGTGTGCTTGGTTCTTGATAAATCGGGAAGCATGGGGGTATGTTCATGGCCCATTTTTCCTAAATATAGTGACTAATGGATGATTGAATGCCTAAGAACACTCTGGACTCTTCACCTGGGTTGTTCTAAATTGCATGGTGGGATAAGACCCGTCATGTCCTATGATTACGACCTCAGGATGGGCAGTGAATATTGTAATGAAAGCAGGATGACAATACAGTTGAAAAGACTTAACATGAAAGACTCTTTTTTCCAGAAAATGGAAGGTTTATTGAGGAGAACTTTTAGGCCCATTAGTAAAGGTTTAGTTAGAAGATCAGAAGGAGAGATTGAAATACAGAAATGTTTTCTTAGCCACCTCTTTGATCTCCTGGAAATACTTGACATGAGGATACAGTGGATTGCTGAACTCCATTCAGAGTCAATCTTATTTATCATCTATATAAGTGACTCTTTATGATCAAAGATACAAACAAAAAGCATCACCATAAGGAAGCTATGGTCAGATTCAGCCACTTATGCCTTCTATCACTTAGTAAACAGTAGGCCTTGTGCTAGGCTCTAGGAATAAAGACCCATATCCTTGAAGGGTTCACAGAGAAAACTTTCCCTTCCCCATTACCACATTAACTCACACTCTACCTTCAAAATTTGGTACAGGCACCCACCTCCTGCAGGAGATGGACTGATCTTCCAGGCTGAGCTAATGGCCCTTCTGCTAGTTTCCCACAATAAACTGTGCAAACCTCTCTTCTATATATTATATTGAAATTACACATTTCTCTCCCACTAGACTAGGAGCTCCTCTAGTACTTGGAACTGTATCCTTTAGAAACCATGTCCTCTAGTACTTGAAACCATTTCTTATTCATTTTCATCTCCCTTTTGTCTAGAAGAGGGTTTATCACACATAGGTGCTTAATAAATAATTACTGAAATGAATGGACTATTAAAGAGCAGGCATAATGTGATAAGGCATCCAGAAGAATGGCACATTTGAGACAGGACTGACCATACTGAAGACCAAAAAGAATGTATTCAACAAATGGGGGTTCGTGTGGTTACAGAAAGGGCAGAGAATCATCCACAATAGCACAGGGTTTCAGAAAGCACATCAGTGCTAGACACCAGCACATAGAAGTGTTCTAGGAGGTGTCATTGGGAAGAGATGACAGAGCCTGGTTTAAAGGTAAAGCAAAGTGGCAAAGAGAACCCTCAAAGATTGGGCTGAAGAAGTCTCTCACTGTGACTTGGATCTAGAGAGTTTGGAAGGAAATTTTGGCATGTGTTAAGGGGAGGAACTACAGATAAGTTGGTGTTGAGGGATTGGAAAAGGCAAATGTATGAAGAGATTTATTTCCTGGGCATTCACCTAGGTAAGAGGGATTGAGTCTTAATGGGTTACCACAGAACCAATGCCAATTAATCTATTGCTGGAGAAATGTTGGGGAGAGGTTAGGAGCAGAAGTAGGAACAGAGCTTCTCAGAAATTTGGTGCAACTCAAGAAACTTTTTAACTTTTGAGCTGTCTAGTCTCCAGTGGGTAGGGAGATTTCAGTCTCTAGTTGGAGTCCATGACAGTCTGGTTTGATATTGTGGGACATAGGGAGTGGATTCATCTTGACATCCCAAGAGTAATTAGGAAGTCTCTAGGATGTGAGTCATCACCCCTCAATTCCAACCTAAACCCCAAACCTGCACCTGTAATTTGGGTGCTAAGCGGCCAAGAATCACTTCTAGTTAAAAGCCTGTGTTCCTTACCATATGTTCCATAATACATGTAACTATGTTTTTAAACTTTATCAATTAAAAAATTGCTTTCTTTAATGACACCAATTACTAATAGAAAATTCTAATTAAATTCTGTTTACTCATTTTATGTAATCTACTATTATTTTCCAGTCAAAACCAATTGGTTGTTTTTCTTTTGTCCTTTTTTATTTAGGGTTATAACCGCCTAAATCGAATGAATCAAGCAGCAAAATATTTCCTGCTACAAGTTGTTGAAAATGGAACCTGGGTGGGGATGGTGCATTTCGATAGTACTGCCAACATTAAACATGAGCTAATCCAAATAATAAGCACCAATGAAAGAAATATGCTCTTGAACAGCTTGCCTACAGCAGCTGGTGGGGGAACTTCCATCTGCCGTGGAATTGATGCAGCATTTCAGGTGAAAATCATACTGCATGTATAGTTTATTTGTTTTTTATCATTAGAACATTTTTCTATTAGTGCTGCTGCACATACTTACTAATTTTAACACAACTAATTCTTTTTTTTTTCTTTTTTTTTTTAAAAATTTTATTATTTATTACAAAGGATATTACATATGTGTCCATTTTTTCCCCCCGCCCAAGACCGTCCCCTAGGCTCCCCTATCCCCCAGTGTCTTATGTCCATTGGTTATGCTTATATGCATGCATACAAGTCCTTTGGTTGATCTC